TGTGTGTGTGTGTGTGTGTGGTCCTCCTTTTTATATAAAAAAAAATGAACAGATTAAGAAGCTGAATGCTTTCCTAGCAATTCAGAGACAACATCATTAACTGCATGGACTTGTAAGACTGTGTCTCTACCTGTATATACGCTGAACATTGGAATATTCACATTTCTGTAAAATTTGTAAGTTGCACATGGCATTTTAAAAGGAATTTGTGTAATTGTTGTTGGACACTCTTGAGACCTTTCAGTATGAGGTAAATGTCAGAAGCCATCAGGTCGAGTGTACCTCGGAGCAGGTCTTTGCTGCTGGGCTTGTCCAAGGACACCTTGTCTCCTCTCTTTGCACTCCTTATTTCAGTCTGAGGAACAGCCCATCAAACTCAGGAGAAGCAATCATCAGTTTCATATTTGGTGCTGAAAACCAACACAAACACATTGGGAAGGGATAAACTGGGGCAGCCTGGCCATCATTAACCAGGAAATTATCTATTTCCAAGAATGCTGTGGCACTGAATTATAATATTAAACTGACAACATGTTTCCAAGGAAAACATACTTCTTGTTTAGTCATGTTGATAAACACCTAAATGAGTCCAAGATGTGTTTTTTTTTGTGAGTGTGTTGTTGTTTTTTTGCTTTCATATTGTTTTGTGAATTTATAATTAAATGATATTATTTATTTCCTTTTTTTTCTGGTTTTAGTTCCTGTGTTTGAAGAACATCCGGACATTTCTGAAGGTGTGTCATGACAAGTTTGGGCTCCGTAACAGTGAACTCTTTGACCCGTTCGACCTCTTTGATGTCAGAGACTTTGGCAAGGTGAGTTAAACATTACAAAACATGGATGCATGTTCAGCTGTTTAGTCTCCAAAATGTCCTTTGACATTGCATGGGACAGAAACAGTACTGCCCACTTTAACTGCGCTGGCTACTTAGAGACATGATGTTGCTTGTGTTTCTGATAATATCAATCAGGCTACAACATTCAAGATGTGGCATTTTTCTGATTAGATCTTGTTCTACAGGCTGGAGTTTTATGAGTCTGGACATTTTTCAGCTTTGAAATGTGGAATTTGCTGCGTTTATCACATGATACTCGTTTTTCTTCTGCTGTTACTACTGCTTGTTTGGAACTTATGAATACTCATTTTGCCCTCAATATAATGTGAAAAGCATGTGTAGAAGACATGTGCATTATGGTGCAGCATGCCTGTAAGGCTTGCATGAGTTTAAAGGTAGTTCAAAGTCAAACTGGTCAGCTGGTTACATTAGCTGTCATTGTGGAGCTGAGAGCTCAGCTGAGCATTTGGTGTGTAGCACCTCAGGGTCAGCAATCTCATCTCGTGTCACTAAGTGACGAGAGTTAAGTGCAATACTCTTTCCTAACATTCTGCAATCTGTGCCTACAGTAAGGTGGGATATGTGTGTTGGCCCAACAATGAAGATGTCTGACTCACTTGTGCATAGTATTAGCTGATGAAGAGTTTAATGAACATTTGTTTTGTGCAATATTAAAGTGGACTTTTAAAAACGTATTTAGTGGTTAACCAGAGACCCTCAGAGGACTTTCCTAAATGTGGAAATTTAGGCAGACTGCAAAGCTACATGTTGGCTCCTTGTACCTGGCTTGACAGCCAGACATCTAGGAAAGAAAAACACTCGAGGTGGTTTAACATCAAATCAGGATTTCTTTGAAGATGATCTTAGCACTTCTACCAATTTGTTGATCCAGAAAACTCAGGAGGGGATTATATTTTTCTACCAGAACTGGGAATACCTTAGGATGCACCCAGCTGTTGTACATACCTGGGGGAAAACACTTCTGGTTACTTTCTTTCATCTGGTCCTGAAAAAGTTTATCATCAAATCAGCTGGTTTAACTCCAGGTTTATATATCATTAAAAATATCAACATGCAGCACTGCTTTTAAATATGACTTTTTTCCATGCATCTCTCGCTGGTTAGCTTAGTCAAAGAGTAAAAACGGGATGGCAACCTCTTTGGCTAGAAAAAAAATGTGGTTGCCCTGTGATAATAATTTTGATCAGATACTAGTCTGCAACCATGGTTTTCTCTAGTGTGTCTGTTGTATAACAAGACAATCATGCCATGGTCAACATATCGTGTTGGTTTCAGCTGCTGAAGATGTAATAGCTTTGACTGCACCGTGTGTGGCTACAGAGTGAGCCTTGGCTTCTTTTCGGCTGTTAAAACAGGCTGCATGTAATGCATGATGTTCATAAATTAGATGGTGGCAGCTCATGCCATTGTGCCAAGACTTATGTGGTACATGTTTATGTGATGTTAATACTGTAGCCTTTCAGCTGATTGAAAAAGCTGTATTTATACTGAAGCCTGGAGAATATTCTGTAGAGGTGATGTATGAATAAACTATATTACATAATTTTTGAATGATGACAATGAGGAATGTTATCTACTCATTAATCTATTAAATTCCAGATCTTAAACACGCTCGCTCATCCTGCTGTGGGCTGAAATATATAGGCCCAATGAAAGAAGAGGAAAAAAGGAATGAAAGGAAAGTTAAAGGAGACAAGGACTCATTTGGCAGTTTGTAGATAAACCACAAGACGATATCTGAGAGTCAATGAGCTTTCAGTGAATGGTATTAAAATCCAACGGCAGTCAGAATCAATCACATAGGCCCACCATATGTCAATTTAGAAATTGCTTTTGTATGGTCTCAGTGGTGGCAGGCTTGTCTCACTATTGATTTTCCATTAAGGGCCAAACATCACATTATAATATATTGAATTGAGCAGATCCCCACTAATGTGACATACATTTAAATAGTGAGCATGCCTCATAAACGGAAGATAAAGAGGGACGTTTTATTCATGCAGTTTATATGAGCCATCCTCTTTTGTTACCTTGACGCAAAAAATGTTGTGTCCAAGTCTGATACAGAACAATGGGACATTATGAATGAGGTCCTAAATATGTGAATAGGATACAGTGAAAATATCTCATTCTTCCCTTCTTTCTGTACTAGTTTTTGTTGAAAATGCTTGGGATCAGAGTAACAAACAGGGCATTCTGCTAAGTACAGCCCTAATGGTTGGTTGGAACTACAGTGAAAGCTATAATTTAAGAGTGGAATTAAACCAGATGGGTTTGGGGAGAGGGTTTTTTTTTTTGGTGGCAGAGCTTCTATAAACATTAATCAGCCCCCATCCACCTTTCATACCTCCACATTTGCTGCCAGGGGACCCAGAGTTCATCTCCCTTGGCCTCTGGTCACCATCTCTTCCTCTAATGATGGCTTTCCGCAGGTCACAGGCAGAGAGATTCAAGGCCAAAAGAGCCCAATGCTATTACAAAGTAATTGTGCCTCCAAAACCTCCCCGCTACGCTTTCCAGCGGGGCTGGTATTGAAACAGATGAAGCAAATAACCAACTCGATGTTTTCTACCGACTTTTCTTTTTTTTATAATCAAAGTAATTTCATCCCAAGACACCTTTGGCCACATCCAACTTCGGCTTATGCTCGCTTGTTTTGTGAAGCCCTTGTATGCTTTCATGCACATATCGCCACACTTTGATTCTTTGCGCTCTAACCCATCCCCCATCATTAGAAATTCATTATGACATCATTAAACCAATGAAATACAGCTTATTACAGTAGACCCCAGAGAACGCTTTTATTTAAACACCTCCCTCCATCCGAACCCAGCCGCCTCGTTTCCTTTCTCCCAACCTATTTTAATTAGCCACCAAAGGAACATTGCTGTCATTTAAATGAACATGGTAATCAGTTTATTTGGCTGTTGCCATGATTAGCATAATTAGCCTGCACCTGTTAACCATCGATCAACAGTTTGGTAATTTTCCATGTGTGACTGGAGAGCAGTGGAGGAAGGAAGCTTTCTGACAGATTTGCTGTCTTCATTAAAGGAAATGGCGTCATTTATTTGAGATGCAGCCAGAGTTGCTTGGATCCATTTCTAGATTGAAATAGCCTTGGATCCATGACTGAGGGACTTGTGAAGTGTAAAGCTATAAAAGTAATGCTCAGTGACTTGATAGTGAAGTGTCAAGGTGAATTTCACTTGTAGGCTGCATTTGAATGGAAAGTGGATGTTCAGTACGTCATGGTCCCCCGTTTTTAACCTAGTGTTTTGAGTTTTGTTGTGGTTTCATACCATTGCATTAAGAAGACAATTTAAGTTCAAGCATTGAATTTAGTCCTGACTTTAGTTCTTTTGAGTGTCTCTGAGTTTATCTATATTTCTAGTTCATGGTGTCTTGTTTGATATTAGGGTCCATTTATGTCTTTGTTTCATCTCTGTGTCTTGTCCTCAGCATCTCCTGTGGAAGTCAGTCTTGTTTCTATGTTTATTTACCTTTGTTTCCCCAGTTGTCTTTGTCTGTCTCTCTGTGTCTTTCTGGTTGCTCAGTGTCCCTCTCTCTCCCACTCCTGTCCCTAACTCTCTAGCTCTTTCTCTTGTCTCTAGCTTGCTGGGTCTCTCAGTCTTTCAGCTTTGTTATGTTTCTCGTACTTCCTGTTTTATTCTGATAGTCACTTGTCCATCATTGTGTGCTGCATCATGTTTCGTTTTCCTTTCCCTGTCTGTCAATTAGATTATACCCAGCCGTGTTCCCCATTCCCTGCCCTCATTCCCTGTGTCTGTTTATTAGCTGCATTTCCCTCTGTTCCTCGTCGCAATCTACCGCAATGCTGTGTGGGCGTTCTGTTCAGTGGTTCTCACTAATGTGCTCTGGTACCTGCCAGTAGGGCTGGGCCATATTATACCGTTCACGGTAATATCGGTATAATGTTAGGCAGTGATAGGAAAATGAAATATCGCGATAGAATGGGAGTAAAACGCGCATGCGCAGTGCCTTTGTTTTTATATGCACATGGCCGATTGTTGAGTGAAACAGATGAACCAGAATTGGTTTGTAAAAATGGTGCAACTTCCGTGATGTGGAACTGGTTTGGTGTTTGTCAGATACACAACAAAGCACATTTTTTTGCAGAACATGCAAGCGGCCGTTGTCATTGTCATATTTGTCGGACTAAGATGCTCTTAAATCTAGGAATAATCTGGGTCCTAAACTCCGTATTCTTCAGGTCAAACAACACTGCAGCATCACTTATGAATTCTTTCATCTTTAATAAAACGATCAGCATTGCTGCTTTACCAGGTGTAACTATAAAGTTTAACTTCCAGGCATCCATGAAAACAAAAGTTATTACATTTAAAACCCCTGGAGAGTCTTGGGTCGATTTGTGGCTATTTTCAAATTTTGATTACCTGCCATTTGCACAGCGTTGAATGGACTATAGCCAAATTCTCCAAAAAAAAGTTTGATATGATTTTATTTCAAAATTCAAGTCCGACTTCCTTCAATTAGCTTCAGTGGCTAAGCTACAGACAAACTTACACTCGCGGACCTAGTGGTCGATTTGTGCCCCATTGAAACCCTTTATAAACGCTATTTTTCACTGCAGAATTATGACCGTTAATATCTGGGTTACGGCTTAGGTTTCGCTTTTGCTTTGGACAAGAGGCCTTAGAGTTGTAATTTTTTTATTTGTCCACCGGGTGGCGCCCTTGCTCCACATGTGACGCCTGCTGGAACATACACACCTTCTCCAGCGGCCTGCTCGAAAGACATACCCGGAAAAGGCAGACTAATTTCCCGCGTGCAGCAGCAGCTTGGCCCGGTGCTCG